GAAGTGAGAGGAAAGGTAACGATAACTCAGCGAAATTATCGAGATTGTCTTTCGAAGTTTCTAAAGGTGTGTGCTACTTCTGTGGGTAATTTAAGGCAAGACGGTAAGTAATAATCGATGATACTCAGGCAATGTCTCTAGAGTATATAATATCTACGTAAGTACAGTTATGCCTATAATATATATATATATATACCTATATAGATTCTATTATATGTATAATGTGTTTCTAGTTCGATTTATATTAAGAAATATTGTAAATTTAAACGAAATTTAATATTAATCGAGAAAGATTCTAACGTGACGCAAAATGATTCTTTTCTCAAAAAATATGCAAAGAAAAATGATTGATTTAATCGAGTTTCTTTTTACTATCTTTTCTTTTTTTCTTTTTTTTTTTTTTTTTTATTCTTTTTCTAATTGGAATCATCCATTTTATAAATGTCCTTCAGTTACACGAAGATTTCGAAGAGTTCATCTATTCGTTTGGTTATTATTGCCATCGGAGACAATTTTTGAATTATCGTCGAGCGTTAAAACGAAATGGAGTGTGATCGAAGAAAATTACCGGAAGGCCGGACTAGAGTAGTTCGATTAAATAGTGTTGGATGGTTTAAATGAAGTTATCTCGCCTGGTCGTAGAATATTTTCGGAACAATGATCTCTTTCTTTTAAAATACATTATTCATGCCTTCAAAGGACGATTAATCGTACGCCTTTAAGCTGTTGGATTATTAAGATGGATCGTGTCCATAGAACCGATGAAGAGAAAAAGTAAAGAAAAAGAAAATGAAACAAAAAAAAAAAAGAAAAAAAAAGAAGAAAAAAAAGAAAAAAGAAATCGAAAAAGAAACAAAAAGAAAAAAGAAACATAATAAAAAATTTGGACTTGGTCGATTTGCAAGGGGGAAAAAAAAAGTGACGGCGGGGAGGGGGAAAGAATAGTCGGTGGTCGGAGTCGTTGAAACACTCAAGAACTCTAACCGATCCGGACGACGACTTCCATTAGTGAATGTCGGCCTTGATGATCTCTCCATTAGTGTGTTTCTAAATCGCATTAAACTACGAGACAAAATGATTCTTATTTAACGTCACTCCTATCATTGGATTTTCATTTATATATTTCAGTTTCGTCGATTCTCAGATGATAGAGAAAATAATTACTGAAAATAATTAATAATTGTATCATTTACATTAAATAAATACGTCACATTATAGAACCATTATCAAACATAATACGAAGCGAATAATTATATACAGATAATCGTAAATCTTATGATAATTCTGTTTGTATCTATTACGTTTAGGATTTGTTTCTTGTTAGTATACAATATGATTATAATTTCGAAATATTGGATTCTATATAGTATTCGTTCTTATTACGTTTCCAACTGCTGTAGGAATTATCGGATTAAAAACGGGGAAGTCGTGAGAAGAAGAGAAAGACAGAGAGAGAGAGAGGGAGAGAGAAAGAGAGAGAGAGAGAGAAAGAGGAAGAGAGACAAAGAGAGAGAGAGAGAAATGGATCTAAGAAATAAATGATTCTATTTCCCAAGAGAGGAAGCGAAGTGAAGGATGCTCCGTTACTGTACCCTATAGCATCCATGTATTCTTCAAGTATGTTCTTTATTTCACTTTCGTAGTATACTGTACGGATATTGCTTCTATTAGAAACAATTTTGCCCCGTGGCATGAGGATCCTTGATATAAAAGTTGTTAGACGTTTGCCGTTAGTTTTGGCTTGTAAGATCTTCTACCTTGCGAATAATTTTTCGTAAAGTTAAAAATCCTTCTTTTTTTTTTCTCCTTTTGGAGCGAGAACTCGACATCGCCGAATAGAATTTTCTTGGTCGTTCTTGAAATTTTTTACGGGCCAAGAAATAAAACTATTATTTCCTCGTCGTCAATTCTGCAGTTTTTACTAACGAACCGATTTCAACGATTTCATAGAGAACCGGAAAACTCAGAGGAAGAACAAAAATTTCCCCTCTTGGCTCGTCTAATTACGTTTAAAATTACAGCTTTCTCTTACGTCCCTTCCTCCTTCGTTCCTGTCATTAAGTTCGATCTTCGTTGACCGTACTGATTACGAAGCGAAGAAAAAACGTTATAAAATATTTATAAACGATTTTATGCTAGCTCTCTTTGCGATTTTTTTTTCTTTTTTTTTTTTTTTTTTTTTTCATTTATTATGAAAAGGAAAAAAATCGACACACAAATGTAATCTTCTATCCCGTATAAATTATAATGAAGATAATAACGTACGTGACCATAATAAAGAGCTATTCATCGAAATATATTGTCATTGTGGTATGCCCATTCGGTGATTCAAATAGCGATATCTGTTTCTGCATTTATTATGCAGTACAACATTTGCATTATTGTTGTATTTCGTACAGATCTTTAGTCTATATATATATATATATATATATATATATATATATATATATATTTATATTCATTTTAATTTCTTTTCGATTTCTTCAATCACATATATTAGCGTTAAGCGGATATTTCAGTGGAAAGTATTTTCCAAATGATTATTGATCGATCAATATGAGAAATACGTTTATTGAAAATGCAAATACCCGTATGTCCACCGGAATAAACGTTAATCGAAAGAAAAAATATAGTTCAAGTATTATTGTAGAGTGTGTGTAAAGAGAGAGAAAGAGAGAGAAAGAGAGAGAGAGAGAGAGAGAGAGAGAGAGAGGGATAAATGAAAGAGAAAGACAAAAATTAAAAAAAAAAAAAAATTAGTAAAAAGATGCGACTTTGGTGAATATAACGAACGAGTAAGTGCTCTAATTTATTTTCCTGATAAAAAACAAAAGTCATACAGTATGACCATACATAAAACGGTTTTATGTGCATAAAGTTTGCATATTTCTTTCGTAAAAATTCCAACTTGAAACTCGTACGAGCCTACAGTAAAAAGATACATAGACACACATACACACACACACACATATATATGTATGTATGTATATATTGTACATATATATATATATACATTTTTTTTTTTTTTCTTAAAACGTACTAGATTATTTACAATCAATGTCTCTTTCATGTTTTATATTATAATCTAGAATGAATAATAGAAAATACAACAGTGACACTTGAAGGTTTCTATGAACATTAACCTTGCTTATCGCGAATTCTGCTTTTAATAGAAGTATAAATATACGGTTGGTCACATACGTATACGTACATATACGCGTACATGCATACATACACACATATGTATATATATATATATATATATATATATAGAAAAATAGAAAAAGAGAGAGACAGAGAAATCAACCTAGTCATTGACTAGGTTGACGCATCCAGATGGGATTCAATAGCTTAGATTCTCAGCAAGCGATTATACGTCGGTAGAAAAATGTGTTCGTATTGCCTGAGGAAATCCCCGTTATAAGAAATTTCTTGCTGACAGTTCAACCTGTTTCTCAATGCTTCGATTAATTCTTACACGTAGTATCTCACGTTTAGATAAAAATCGAACGAAAACGGAATAGAGATTATAACAACACGATTGTTAATTAATTCGATACGATCATTAAAAAGCACGCAAACTAACATGCTTAATCGTCCGATATTCAAAATATAATTTTTCTTTTTTCTTTTTTTTTTTTTTAAATCATCTCTAATGCTTAAACTTTTTTTTTCCACAACAAACGACAAGATAATTACGGTTGATAAATTTGGTCGAATAAAGTTTATGAATAATAATATATTGAAATGACAATAATAAATTTTCCTCGAAAGACGTATCTCTAATTTATATTTCTATTAAATCACCTTTAGATAAGATATTATCAATAACTAGAAATAATTCATTGGCATGTATCTAATGTTTTCACGTTTTAATGGAGATAATTTATATATAATTTTACATCCTATTGAAATTCTTTCGTAAATTCCATCATTCGTATTTACATATATACATACATACATGCATAATACATAGATACATATTGTAAATAATATGCATCATATGCGTAAATAATATACGTCAAACTATCTACGTTAAATAGCTCTAACAATAAGAAATTGTTTCAATTATTCCATGAGGCAAAGTCAAGAAAGAAGAAGCAGCTTTAGCTGCTACATTAAGAACATAAAACATGTATTCTTTTATTTCCCAAGAGAACCGAGCGAAGGCCATGCCAAAAGTAAGCTTTCTGAAACCGTAGTCTTCTCACGATCAAGACCAATTCTATGAGAGACGATCATCTCTTGTTTTAGATTAATCCACCCCTTTATCTGTCTTTTTCTTACAATTAGCTCTATGTCACGGATAGAGACTAACAATAAGATCAATGAGAGTATTCTTTCAAGATAGGAGGAAAGAAAGAAGGAAAAGGAGAAACTACGTTCTCTCTCTCTCTCTCTCTCTCTCTCTCTCTCTCTCTCTCTCTCTCTTTCTCTGTTTCTATCTCTTGCTAACTCTCCCACTTCTTCCTAAGAAGCCAGGTAAGCTCTTGCGAAACAAGACACAGACGAATAGCAGAGACGAAAGAGAGAAACAGAGAGAGTGTGTGTTTGTGAAAGAGAGAGACAGAGAGAGAAAGAGAGAGAGAGGCAGAGAGAGAGAGAGAGAGAGAGAGACAGAGAGAATCTTCGAAGATTAAACTTTCGATATCTACTCGACGTTTTCAGTCGACTCGCAAGCGTCGTTCCGAACGTGCGCACCTGTTTCGATTATCTCGTTTACATTATTTTACTTCTCTCGCGTGATACCTTGAAAATCTGATTTGTCGTGACGGCGATTCTAAAGGAAGTAAATAAGCAGCAATACGTCGAGAGGAAGGAAAAAGAAAAAAGAGAGAAAAAAAAAAAAAAGAAAAGTGTGTCGTTTATTCTCGTTCGAACGACATCGATGAATAATACAAGAAAATAAGATAGAGAAAGAAAAAGAAGAGAGAAAAGAGGAACGAAAAAGGAACAAAAAAGAGTGAGAGAGAGAGAGAGAGAGAGAGAGAGAGAGAGAGAGAGAGAGAGAGAGAGAAAGAAAATAAGAAAAAAGGAAAGGAAAGAAAGAGCGTAAAATCGTAAGTTTATATTACGCGAACGTGATCGTTCGTTGTTATTTCATTTTTATATAAGTAAATATTAACTCGCTGGCAATCATTCGGTTTAAATATCATTTTTATTCCTGTGAAAATATTTAATGAATGTTTTATCAGACTCACAGATAGTAATTGCATGTAATATTTAATGAGAAGGTTATAGAGCGTGCAGAAGTCAAAATTTCTTTCCACGCTTATTCTATAATATCGACCCTTTTTTTTTTTTTTTATTTCTCCTCTCTATTAACCAACCATCACCTTTCACTTCCTCCTACATTTTCACACTTTTCGTTTTTTCCTATATACTATTGAATATTATAATTGTTCTATTATTTAATATTACTTCGTGACATATATCTCATTTTTAGTAATACAATTTTCGACAAGTCTAAACGATAAATTATTATGAAACTGATCGTTGATTTATAATTAATAATTCTCTCTCTTTTTCTCCCTTTTCATGGTTTTTGGAAATACGTTGATTACATTGTATTATGGTATTAAATGAAATGACGATTAAATAGAAAACAAAAAGCGATAAAATAAATTAAGAAAGGGCGTTTTAGCATTCTGATTTATTGAATTTTTCAAGTACGTCGTTCCTTCACTTTTGAAATTTCTCTCGTTAGTTATGTATATGAAGATGTAAAGTAAAAGGTAAATGGGAGGAAAAGGATAGGGGATGGGTTTTCTTAAATAGACATGACAAGAAAGCACCAGCCAGGATTAAATGTTACTTGTGAACGATAAATTCGAAAGTAAGATAACAGAATCGGAGTGCGATGCTTGTTATCTCTTTAAAGCTTCGGTCACTGTATCGCGGTGTGCTTGGGAAAGTCGAAAACTTTCTTCCGGAATTACGGAGAGTTTCTTACCTAGGGGAAGAAGATATACCGTAAAGAGAGAGGGAGAGAGAGAGAGAGAGAGAGAGAGAGAGAGAGAGAGAGAGAGAGAAAGAGAAAGAGAGAGATAGAGATAGAGAAAGAGAGAGAGAAAGAGAGAGAGAGATCGACCGACCGACCGACCGACCTGCGAGTTTACTTTCTTGCTCACGAAGAGATAATGCGTGACGTATTTTCGAGGAAACTTTCGACGCGATTTTCAAGATGTTCTTCTTCTTCTTCTTCTTCTTCTTCTTCTTCTTCTTCTCGAGGCTCCTTTTCGTACGCGCTTAATTACGTGCAAAAGGGCATACCCGCGAAATGCCCGAAGGCGCGAATAATAAATTTAACTTTTCGACGATCATAATCTCATCTGGAAAATTTTCATACTATACCGTCTCTTGGAATGTTAAGTGGTATTGCCGAGATAAACGATATTATCTATGTTGTAATCTTTATTCGATATTTATATTCGTTAGAGATAAATATATAATGTAAAAATACGAAGATCCCTGGTATAGTAGTACGAATGTATAGTATCTGATGTTTGATATCATTGGAACGAATGAAATTATACGCAACATAGATAGATAAGTTAGTATTATATATGTATATTAGTATGCGTGTCTGTTACGAGTCATTTCAAGTGGACGTTGCTCGACAGTAATTAATACCCCAGCTTCGTTGTCTCGTCGTTGAGACATACACGCACACAGTGATAATAATCCAACGTGAAAAACAGAATGACGAACGTTTCTATATACACATAAATACATACATACATATATATATATATATATATATATATATATATATATATATGCGTTTTGAATTTTTGTTATCTCTTTTTATTAATGTCATCATGTGCACTAATTGATTCGCAGACAGTTTCAAGAGGGCTGCGCGAAGGATCGTACGACGAGTCTTTTTTTATTTCTCTTTTCTCTTTTTTTTTTCTTTTTTTTTTTTTTCCTTCAATTCTCTCTCCTCCTTTCTCTCATTTTCTCTTCATTTCCTTCCTATCTATTTCTTCGATACTATCATTTTTAACCAGCTAACATAACAATGCCTATTCCTCGTTATTCATTTCGCGAACTCTTCGATTTTACTTTTATTTGTTATTATCATTATCATATTTCTTTCTTTCTTTCTTCTCCTTTTTTTTTTTACTCTTTCTTTTTTTTTCTTTTCCTTGTACATTACACATAATTACCCGTTATCATTAATACTTCACTATAAACCTTTTTTATTTCGTTCTTCGAATAGGATCGATCGAACTTTTATATCTCTCGTTGCAGTATATTTTTCATTATCTTTCTCTTTCCTTTTTCTTATTCTTTCTTCCTTGTTTCTTCCCTCCTCCTCCTCCTCCTCCTCCCACCCCCCCACCCCACACTCAACCCCCATCCCTTTTTATAGTTTTCCATTTTCCCGACGCGCGATACTCATTAACGAGCTCGATCGTCTGGAGTTTTCATTAACAATAATAATAATACGAATGATACTTCATCTTTAGTAAATCTTCCATTCTTCGGCTCAATATTCATTTCTCGTTGGATTTACTTTATCAAAGCAAACATATATTTACTTTTCTTCTCTCTCTCTCTCTCTCTCGCTCTCTCTCTATTTATCTATTTATCTTTCTCTTTCTCTTTCTTATTAAAATTATATTCCATGTGATCGTTATCGTGAAGACGATTGCAAGTGGAAACGCGGTTTCCGTCTTTTACAAAACTTTAGAAGGTTTCTCGCGTTCATCGTCGAACTACGAAATACGATATGAAACGCACCGAAGCCCCGAAATGAAACGCACGAACTCTCTTATTCTCTCTTTCTCTCTCTCTCTTTCTTTTTCTCTCTTTCTCTTTTTCTTTCTCCCTCTTTCTCCCTTTCTTTCTCTCTATTTTCTTTGCATTTCTCGAAATGCAGTAGCTGAGCAATTTTGTCCCCCGACGGAAAATTAAATCGAAACTTTCCGCAGCTGAATCGCTCGATCCTCCTCTTCTACTCGTTTTCCCTTTGGACCTACCTTCGTCGTATAATCTCACGTAACGCGATAGCGTTGAAACAAACACCTTGTTTTTCCTTGCCTCCCCCCCTTCTCACTCTCTCTCTCTCTCTCTCCCTCTCTCCCTCTCTCTCTCTCTCTCTCTCTCTCTCTCTCTTTCCCTCTCTTCTTTTCTCCTTTTCTCTTTCTCTTACGGTTTGCATTGGAATTTTCAAGAACTCGATATGATTTTATTTATATCAAGTTTATAATTAATAATGAAATCCATCCAATAAATTTCTCATCGTATATGATATTCTTGCTTAACTTGATATTTCGTGGCATGAAAAATGATTCTTATCGTATATTTTACGATCGATGGAAGATACATTGTCACGTTATGTTGCATTTTAATGAAGAAAAAATTATTTGAATAAACTTTTCGTCGTTTCTTTTTTTCTTTTTTTTTTTTTTTTTTTTCTTTTTTTTTAACGACACCGCGTCAATTATAAATTGCTTGCAAGTATTGTGCGTTTAGAGACGAATAATAATGTGAGATATTATATTTTCATGTTGAAATTTAAATATACGAACGTATTAACTTTCGTAAATCCGGTTATTTGGAACGCGAATGATGTAACTATAATAGTATGCGCTTTTGCATTGGACGCGTGTATAGTCGATCGATCAAATCCGTATCTATTTGCAAGAGCTGTTGTATTGAAGCTCGGATATCAAAAATCTTAGATATTGTGCGGCTTCCTTTCAATATTCGACGTATTTGGCAACTTGGAAAATGTACCGAAAGCAAAGAAGATACACGAATGAATCCTTAAGAAGGTTTTCATATATCGTTTGGTTCATATTTTCATTCGTCTAAAATGTGTTTAAATCTTTCCAATGAATCAAATGACGGGAAATTATTATCGTAACATATGTACGATTATATTGAATATAAAATGTAATTGTAAAAAATATTTATAAAAGGAAAAAGAAAAAAAGAAGGAGAAAGAAAAAAAATTAGGAAGAAAGATATTAACTAGTGTCGGGAGAAAAAATTCTTCTTCTGACTGACTTTTGACATTTGCGAAAAAAGTATTGAATTCGCTTAAAAATTCACTTCGTTTGAATTTTAAATTTATCTTTGAATTCTTCGAAGAACGCGCTTTAAAGAACATATTTGTATGTATATGTATATAATTTCTTCTTTTTATTTTTTTTTTCTTTTTCTTTTTTTCTTTTTTTTTTCTTTTTTTTTTTTAGAACGAGAAAAAGTCGCAGTTTCTACTACCAAGTCGAAGGAAGGACATTTGAATATGATGGATATCAGGATAATGTTGATATTTTTGTTTCTGTTTTGTCTTGTGCCAAGATCGACCGTCGGTAAAAGTCGTATGATCAATTCAGATCTTTTCTACTTTCCCGACCAAGCGGATTATATAAGACGAGCCGACAAATGTCCGGATAACATGATTTTGTGGCTAGGAAATGGTCAATGTTACAAAGAAGGTGAAAGAGGACCCTGCAATGTCGGCCGTGTTTTAGTAATCGACAAACAATATTTGAAACCCTACTGCAAGGATATTCTATAATGATTTCTCCATTGCTGCGAAAGATGGCAGCACTCATGAAAATCTACAGTTAGATCGTATGTAGGAAAATTGTTTTAACAGAATCGACGTAGAGATGACAGCACTGTTCGTATGAAAAACATTTTCCCGGCGGGAAACTTTGAATAAAGAGCTTCTCTACGAATTCGCAGAGTGGCAGCTCCAATATAAATTTTCCTTACACTTCGTGGGACGTACTCGTGATCACGCCATCATATCTTCTATTTATCTTTTAAAATGAATACGCGATAAATTGTTCCACGTGCGATAAAGGAAATTTTTATTATTAAAATTTTCTTTTCCTTTTTTCTTTTATTTCTTTCTTTTTTTTTTTTTTTTAATTAAAAAAAAATTTTGTCATAATTACTAATGGACTGTCGAGAGCTTTAATTTGTTACTCTTCCAATTTGATCTACTTAAAGCTCACAATAATATACAAAAGGTATAATATTGAATATCGCCAACTCGCATAACAAGTTAGATGAATAATAAAGTTTCAGTATCAGTTGTCTCATTATGAAAACTTATGCATCTCTATCGTTTTTTGTATCGTAATATACGACATTTTAATTACAGAAGTTGCAAAGCAGCTATAAACGAAGCAGAGCGTTTGTGCCAAGTTCTGTGAATTAAACCGTACTAATTTCATGTAATTTCATTCCAGCACGTCACGTCGCGAAATAAAATGTCACTTTGTCTTTTCCCTTTCGTAAAAATGTACGCGTGCTCGGCCACGTTTCCGTATTATTTCACGCACGTGGCTGTATTTAATCGTTTTTATTTGCGAATGAAACTGAAGAAAAAGAAATAAACTGAGATCAAAGTGTTCATTTTATCTCACATTCTACATACATATATACATATATATATATATACATATTACGAAAAAAATATATCGCGATACATATATTAAAAAAAGGATATCAAAGGGTATATATATATATATATGTATATTATATATATTAAAAAAGAAAAATATTAAAAAAAATTAATAAGAATACACGAAGATATATAGGATATTAATGATGGACGTCTCTCCGATCTTACTTGCGATCGTAATTTGCAGATTGTAAAAATGTAATCAAGAAGACGAAAGGTAGCACGTTTAATTACTACGCTCCGATATGACGTTGGCGAGAAGAAGGGTGAGTCAGATGAGAAGGAGTGGACGGGGGTGTTCTTTCGTTCGTTCGTTCGTTCGTTCGTTGGTTCTTTCGTAACAAGCCACCCCATCGGAAAGAAAGAAAGAAAAAAAAAGAAAAAAAAAAAGGAAGATTGAAACAGCTGTCGCTTCCTCGTGATCTCATTATGCTTTATCGAAGGGTGTTCCTCTCTTAGGCGATGTAATATTTCAGAGGTCAATGTGACATCGATTTGCAATTTGGCATGGTTCTTGACAACATGAAAATAAGAGAGTGCCGGAGAGAAATGATCTGAAAAGTTGCGAAAACCGACCACGGCTCGTTCGCGATATTTCAACGCTCTTCTATCCCTTCCATCGTGCGTGGCACGAGTTACGTGCTACGAGTAACAAGGGAGTTCCAAAATGTTTTCGATTAACCTCATTTTAAAAAGGATCGACGTTCCACCGTCTTTCCTTTGCCAATACGATCCTTATCTCCACACGACCATTCTCATTTCACAAAACGTGTTTCTCTCAATCGACCATATTATTACGAGTTTATTCGATACATTTGTTTTAACGAGTTAAATTTATCTAGATTAATAAATATCTAGATTTTTAAATGTTCCATTGAAGATTTTTCAAAACGTTACAATTTATCTGTATTATTTCATAATACAATATTTATATCGCAATACAATATTTATATCGTATAACTTTCTTAAATCGATTAATTGAAATGTATTTATTAATCACAATTTTTGATAAGATATCACAGCTTATAATTAAGATTATAGATTTATAATTCTTTATCATTCCTTATAAGTTATTTATATTTTATCATTTTCTTAATATATATATATATATATATATATATATATATATATATATATATATATATATGTATATATAGGGTAGCGATAGGATGACTAATATTTACAAATTTCATGCAGAAAATTAATATTTCTACAAATTGAATCTGTTTATTTACTTTACTTACGGTGATAAAAAAAGAAAAAAAAAATAAAAAAGAAAATAAAATGAAATAAAGTAAAATAAAGTAAAAAAGAAAAAAAAAAGAAAGAAAAAACAAAATTAGAAAACACATAAATAGGTAATTAATTCTATTGTTACAATTAGAAATTCTATGCAATTGATTTATTATTAATATATGTAATTATTAATTTTCAATTATTAATTTATTATATTAATAATTGAAAATGTAATTGATGTTTTTAAAATGCATTAATAAATGTAATGCAATTAATTATATAATTAATTTTGTATTTTATCGTGGAACGTGTATATTCTTTTTTTTCTCTCTTTTCTCTTTTTTCTTTTTTTCTTTTTTAATACATGAATGATTTTAAATCTTTCAAATAATAAATAACGAAAATAGAGATATTAATAATTGAACGTTTAAATGTTCTACATATATCTCAACATATCAATCGATTTCATGGTAGATCGTAGAATGAAAAGGGAATGGTGCTCTTGTAAATCCATCGTGTATCGTTTGAAGCGTGAAATCGAGGTAAATCTTCGAAGGCAGAAGTCACGACTATTAAATGGCACGAGGAAGGGCAGGCTTTCGCGACAAGATCGTTTGTCACGTTGCTCGTCGACCCGACGACTCCTTTCAGCTTTTTACATCTCGAAGATGGCGACGAGCTTGAATATAAGCGCCGACCAGAGCTGAGGCGACGAATAGAGCTAGGATATGCATTTTCTTTTTTTTTTTTTTTTTTTTTCTTCCCCATGAGAATTTATTTTAATGATAAAAATTCAGAAGCAGGATCTTCATCAAGTAATTTTTTTTATTTAATATTGTCGATCTTGCACAGAAATATATAAAAATATAAAATTCATCTTTAGATCCTTTATCTTTATCCATAAAAAAAAAAAAAAAAAAAAAAAAATCAAAGAGTTTAATTTTATTCACATTTTGAATGGACAATTTATTTGATGAGAGAGAGAGAGAGAGAGAGAGAGAGAGAGAGAGAGAGAGAGAGAGAGAGAGAGAGAGAGAGAGTTGTTAAATATTATTTAAATTAATGCATTTTTCATCTTTTAAAATTATTTTACATTCTTCTTTTTAAATAATTTTACTATGTTGCATATCCCTTTTACTTAAAATTTAATAAATCGTTTATAATCTCCTCACTATTGTTTATATATGAATTTGTTATTGTTACCCAAAAACAGTTTTCCAGTTAGTTTATCTCTCTTTGTTGGAATTCGAATTTGTTTATTTATTTCCGCCATGATATCAGCCTCAGTACATTTTAACCGTATTTTATTTATTTCGTTTTAAACAAACTAAAGACTCGTTTAATCTTCTCACAAAGCTTGAACACTAATAGTCGGTCCATGAATATGAACAATTCATAATATTTTTTTGTCAAATATTTACAAATGGTTGTAGTGATATGATAAACAAGTATATATATATATATATATATATATATATATATATATATAAAAATTATCGATTATTTTTGTTTATTGTTTGAGCCACAACGATGGAGCAGTGTTCCTTCAATATTTATCTTTTCACCAGACAAAAATCAATCGAAGGTTAAAAAGCAAGTAAATCCTTTTCCAAACAATTTTATTTAATATCTATCCTGACACTTTCGTTCTATTTACCAATAACATTATTATCATAAAAATCGATATTATAAAGATAGAGAAAATCCGTCGGGAGACATGAAATATCCATTCACCCGTTTAAGCAATTTTCTCTCTCTCTCTCTCTCTCTCTCACACACACACACACACATTTTTTCTCTTACCTCTTTTCCTTCTTTCTCATTGATATCGTCTTTCGATTTCGTATCTAGTGTCATTCGTTCCTGAACTGAGGGGAAATGATAGCTACAGAGATTTCAAAGATCTCTCGTACCGGACATCCTCCTTCTTCACAACTTTTCGTACCTACCTCTTTGTTAAGTAGATTTCAATATCCGACCAGGCAACAGTCTTTTCGTATGTGACGTGTCGTACTAAGTCAAGAGAGAAAGAAAGAAAGAGACAGAGAAAAATAAAAAGAGAAAGAGAGAGAGAGAGAGAGAGAGAGAGAGAGAGAGAGAAATCAGTCGACAGAGGATGAGGAGCGTACTAGGAAGAAGTGAAGGTGTGGTGGAAAGAGGTAAAAAGGGCGACAGGAGGTGCAATATTCTTGGCTCGCATTGTACGTGTCCCATCGGTTGGCAGGCGAGCTCCCTCTCAGCGACAGCTTGACAGAACATACGCTCCTTCCCCGCACGAAACCTTCCCTTTTCTCTCACCCTTATTCTTTCTCACTTTCTACTTCCACACCTTTATCTCTTTCTTTCTTTCCTCTTTTTTTTTTTCTCTCTTTCTATCTCTTTTTTTTCTCAGAATCTCCCTTTCTTCTTCTTCGTATTCGTCTTCGTTTTATTCTTACTTGAAACCTCAGTCTGTTTCGGTCTTCTTCTTCTTCTTCTTCTTCTTCCTCCTCCTCCTCCTCCTCCTCCTCCTCCTCCTTCTCTAGTTTTCCCCTTGTCTATTTTATCAGTCGTAGAAAATAAAAGTTTATAAGACGTCCGTGGTTGAGCGTTGTGATACGCACGCCATCGTGATATCGGAACTATGGTAAAAGGGGAAGATGAAATGGAAACGAGAAAAGTGGGGACCACGTGCAGAAATAACGTTCGTGTTTTTGATTTGAAGCACGTAACCGAACCACATTGAAATCAGATAGGGGCGCGAGAGAGGACGCTAAACTGGCTCCAAGGCTTGGAAAGCTTGCTACGAGAATACCTAAAGCTGTGGGTGGAAAGAGGTTGAGGTTGGAAGTGGAAAAGGAGAAGGAGGAAGAGGTTGCCATAGGTGTGGAAGCAAGCGTTGCATGCACACACGAAGGAAAATAGAAGAAGATAGATTCGAGGGGCGGGGCGGGGTAAGGTGGTGGTGATGGTGGAGAGGGGGGAAGGGGAATAAAAAAGAGAAGGGGTGGACGTTACGTCCAACGGAACTCGAAGAGATCGTCGATGGGAAAAGGAAGAAGGAGGATCGAACAGCCGCCTTACGGCTGAAACCTGCCACTTTCTAGGATTTTCGAATAAATCGACGTTGCTCGCATTATCCCACTCTTCTTACGCTATAACTGAGTCTACTTTGACCCAGACTTTTCTAACCCATGTCTCTCTCTCTCTCTCTCTTTCTCTCTCTCTCTCTCTCTCTCTCTCTCTCTCTTTTTCTCTCCCTTTTCTCAACCTTATCCAGAGTTTTCGTTCCGTAATCCGGATGGGACTGTTAGCTCCTTGAAAAACCAATCGAAATTCGTCGCTTCGTCCAAACAATGCTCGAACTAAGGATTTTCTTGGAAGAATCGAAACGAAAGAAAAGGTTTTTAAAGAGAAAACTTGCTCCGGAACTTTTTCTTTCTCTTGAATCTTCTTTTTTCTCTCTCTCTCTCTCTCTCTCTCTCTCTGTATTCTTTTCCTTTTTTCTCTCTTGTAATAATTCCTAAGGACAAGCACGCGGAACAAAGTCGAGACATGAACGAATGCTAACGGGATAGCGTTACACGCTCGTATTCTCTCGACAAAAGCCGTATTCTCTCCGCGAGAATTTTTTTCTCCCCGCCCTCCCTCCCCGCCCACCCCTGTTCTCTTCATATTCATTTCACGTGTCTTTTTTCCTCCTTCTTTTTTTCCTTTTTCTTTCTTTTTTTTTCTTCATCTTTCCCTTCCTACCTTCGTCGCTCCCATCCGTCGAGATTACACGGACTTAAAGTCAACAGTCGAAGAAATGACTTCATATATAGTCTTCTTTATACTCTACCTGGCTAGAGGTGTATCTAGGATATTATATATATATATATACATATAAAATGTATATATATATATATATGTACGGTGGTAGGATAAATCGCCGAAAATATTCGACTCGTTGAAATTGAAATGCTTTCCCTTCGCGGGATATCAATTTAAAAAAATAAAAAATAAAAAAAAAAAAAAAGAACGAAAGAGAAAAAAATTGAAAAAAAAAAAAAAACTGACGAACACCTCGTTTATTCTTTCTCTATGATACTCTTTAACACGATTATCTTTTATCGTAATATTCGTCGATGGATTTTTAACAAAACCCGAGACAAACGATCGACACGTAGTTTCCTTGTA